GCAAAATTTCTAAAACATCATACATATTAAAACGGAGAGAGTATATAATTAAGTGGATGTAGGCAAATTCACTGACGAGTAAAGAATAAATCGAAAGAAAACAAACTACATTAGTAATATAATTTTTTTTTTTTGGTGTCAAAGATTTCCATTATGTAAGCCCAATGAGTCAGATACAAGAGAAATTTGATAATGAGTACAACCATTTAAAAATAAGCCCAATGATACGAGAAGCCCACACGTTGAACCACCGACACAACCTTCTCGATGGTCGGAATCTTCATCTCCAAAGCATGGTTCTCGATTCGTAAAAAGATGGCCATCATCTCCAAATCTCTTGCCGAAAACTCCGATTGCGTCTGATGCCTGAGTAGAGTCCAGAAAACCTACCAAACTTCACTGTTGAACTCCACCAATCATCTAACAACCATGACAACACCTCACGACCAACTGTGATCGCATAAAGAGGAACTAGGGGAAGATATTTCTTCCCACCATAGAGAAGATGATACCTAAGCTGGAAGTAAAATAAGTTATTCCGACAACTCCAAACCCATAACTAGCATAAAAATCAAATCGGAGGTAAGACACAACTCCTGTTTAAAAACGGAAACCTGAATATCCGATTAGAATCGGAAAACCAAAATCCGAACTAAGTTGGAATCCTATATCCGCTAAACGGAAATATTTTACAACAAAAGATTCGATAACACAAAAATCTAGATCTAAAACACAAAAAAGAGAAGAAATATTTACAATCCGAACCAGCAACCGCCGGCAGGAGAAACTAAATAAGATCTGAAAAATTAGTCGAGAGAGTTCTTTTGATTGTAGAGAGAAGTTAGAAAGAGAGTACGAACTACTTGCGAAAATATGCATTAGTAATATTTAATATCTTCGAATTTAGTCCACAAGCTTATTTTGATTTTATTGCAATTGAACAATAAATACATAGGAGACAAAACACAAAAATCTGTGTTCATGTCGTTCGTACACCGTTTAGGTGAAAGTAAGATGGCACGTGGCGAGAGCTGGTGGAGTCGTGCAAACCCCCAAGCACGCTTCTTCTTCATTTTTGTTTCTGTTCACCACGTCACATTTTTTTCCTTCTAATAACTACAAAATTCAGAACTAAAACAGTAAACCCCTAAGCTAATCTCAATATTTATGAAAATCATGTTTTTTGAACCAGCTATAATTAGAATATTTTGATGGCGTAACGATTCGGAAAAATATAAACATGCTCAACCAAACTCAACAGTACTAAACGCTAAGCTAATCAGAGATTTAGTCAGGGATCTCAGTTATAAAAAACATCGTTATTTAAAATTCGGAATAATATAAATATGCTCAACCAAACTAATATTCCGTTA